GAGCCCTTAGCACCTAATATATAGGCCTAGAATGGAGGAGCCGAGCACTTAGGGGGTGTAATTAAGGAGAAAGCCTATATAATGCGCCTTAATGCTAACCTACTATAAGACCTTTAGCTAGAAATTATATAAGCTATAATATATCTATATAATTGCACTCTAAACTATAAGAACTAATAGCGTATACCATATAAGAAGTTCTTTACTATAGTCTCTCTTATTAATGGGATTATATCTCAACTAAAGAAATCGGCCCTAGGGCATCTTAAAGTGTATGGAAGTAAAGTATTTACTATAACTAATAATACCCGGCGTGGTAAGAGTAAGCTCCAGCGACTAGATCCGAAGGCATGGATTAGATATCTCGTTAGCTATTAATCTATAAATATATGGCGTATATAGATCCCATTACTATTAAAGGTAATTAGTATCCGTAATATTATATTTAATAAAGAAATAGTATTTGTTACGAACCGGAAGATAGAAGGGTGAGGCGGGGCGCTTATAAAGGTGCGAGGATGCAGTGGCAGGGTTGCGACGAGATAAAGAGTAGCCAAGCCACTTAGATAGTAGTCACGTGATCTACTTAGCTGCTTAGGAGCCCTAAGCAGCCGAGTAAGCCAAGATAGGTTACGTGACCTGCTCAGCTGCTTAGGAGCCCTAAGTAGCCGAGCAGGCAAGTATATAGGAACTTAAGTATAAACCTTTATACTCGTGTTCAACCTGTTTATTAATCTATTATTTGGATTACACTTAGGCTATATTGTTAACTCGTTATATCCTCCTCCGATACTATCGTCTCGATAGACCCCTTCCCTTCCCTTAGTTGTCTTGCCCGAGAACCAACCCTAACCCTTTAGGACTAGCTACCCTTCTAGATTTAATATCTTGAACACCCTCAACATAACAATAGGGACTCCTACCTCTTCCATGGACACGGGCAACGCTACAGTAACCCCAATAGAATATAAGGGCACTAAGGCGCATAAACCCAACCTATACTATGGTGTTAGAAACCATACTAATATCTGGCTTCTTTAATTGGACCTTTACTTCTATGAAGAAAACAAAGATAAGAATGATGAAGACAAAGTTCTCTTTACAGCATCCTACATGAGAGGAGATATAGGAGAATGGATCTAACCCTATATCAC